GCCCACTGGCCCTGAGGGCTGGGAGCACGGGCCTGGTCCTGTCAGTCTAGAGGTGGGCAGCTGTGTCCAGGTGGCCCTCTTGTTGGCTGGTTGGCTCTTCATCCCCCTGCGACCCTTCCCCCAGGGCCGGCCTACCAGCACCAACCCTATCGCCAGCATCTTTGCCTGGACGCGTGGCCTGGAGCACCGGGGGAAGTTGGACGGAAACCAGGACCTGATCAGGTGAGTGAAGAGGGAGGGCCTGAGCCGGATCTGGGCAGGTTCTGGGCCCTGGCTCCACACAGCTGGGGTCTCACTCTGCCCTGTCCCCTGCAGGTTTGCCCAGACCCTGGAGAAGGTGTGCGTTGAGACAGTGGAGAGTGGAGCCATGACCAAGGACCTGGCGGGCTGCATCCATGGCCTCAGCAAGTGGGTGGCCTGGGGTAGAGGGCAGGGCTGGCCTTCTGGGACCTCGGGGTCAGGTGGAAAGAAGCCCAGGGTCCTTGTTAGAGGCCTCCTCCTGAGTTAACTTAGCTGCTGGGGGCAGGACAGGTCCATGGCCCTGGGGGATGGCTTGGGCCAGCCTCCACAACCAGGCGCAGCGAGTGGGTCCCCATCCCTGAGGCTAGCTGCTCAGAATGTTTCCATCCCCTGCTGCACCCATCTCCCAGCTTCTCCCCAGAGAGCTTGTACCTAGTTGCCCACTCACCTGGAAAAGCAAAGACAGGCCTTACTGGGTTCCTGCCGAGTTTGCTGTGGCCTCTTGACCGTTGGCTCCAGGTGCCTGTGGCCTGTAGACCTCCCCATGACCGCACGAGGGGGCTGCCGTCCGGTTGCCTGAGCTCAGGCTCTGCCCTGGGAGGGCCCGGCCTGAGCGGCCCTCACGTGCAGGTGCTCTCTTGGCAGTGTGAAGCTGAACGAGCACTTCCTGAACACCTCGGACTTCCTGGACACCATCAAGAGCAACCTGGACAAAGCTCTGGGCCAGCAGTAGCGGGGTGGGAGCGCTGCTGGCTGCTGTAGCAGCCGGGCTGGGGCCGAGCAGGTGGCCACAGGTCCCCGCCAACCCCGACACGCCCCCACAGCAGAGGGTGAGCCTCACAACCCCTCTTTGGAGGCCTTTCTAGGGGACACTCTTTTTTATAAGCAAGATGTTTTTAAAGGTATCTGTGTTTCCCCTCATGGTGACATGAGGCAGGAACAGTGTGTTTTACCTCAGCCAGTGGTATGTTTTGCATACTCTAATTTATATTGCCCTCGGAACACATGGTGCCATATTTAGCTACTAAAAAGCTCTTCACAAAACAGTCTGCTGTGTTTGTCCCTGAGGAGAAGGAGGCAGCTGGGGCCTAGAGGCAGAAGCCCTCAAAGGGCTGGCGGATTCCCCCAGGGGCTGACCGGGGTGCCTTGGGCCACAGCAGGCCTCTGTCCAGTCAGGGGGCCACCGGGGGGAGGGGACCAGGCAGAAGGGCTGTGGGTTCCCTGGAATTTCCTAGCACGATCTGGCTTCTGTATCCTCCTTTCCATTTTGAGATTGTCGCTTCCGATAGAGTACGGTTATATTTTTATCTTTTTTTCTTTGATAGTTTTAACTTTCTCAACGTGCCCAGACCTCTTTATTTGCCTGTTTCTCAGTCCTCGAAACAGGTCCCACACAGTGGCCGCCTCAGTTCTCTTCCCCATGGCTGCCTGGGACTCGGGCCTGGGCCTGTGAGTGGGGCCCCCATGTGGTCCAGGCTGGTGAGTCCCAGACTTGGGTTCTTCTTCACCATTCTGTGGCAAAACTTGGAAAAGTAAGTTTATAAAGTTGCTATAAAGCGAAACAGATCCAACTTAAAGGGCTATCCTTTATTCAGGGATTATGTTCTACTTTTGGTGTTAAAATGTCCTAGGGAAGAGTTGTGTCTTTTTTTTGGCCGCATGGCTTGCCGAGCCTCAGTTCCCTGACCAGGATCTGCAGTGAAAGCGCAGAGTCCTAACCATTGGACCTCCAGGGAATTCCCGAGTTGTGTCATCTTGACTTGAGAAAATAAATACTTGGCAACCCAAAGTCCATTTCCCAAATTTGGGTGGGCCCTCATGTATTCTGAAACTCAATAGCTGGGAGCCTTGGTAGCTTTGAGATGGGCTCCAGCTGCCCACCTCCACTGACAGCTGCCTTCTGTGCTAAGACCACTCTTCCTCAGTAATCACTGGACTCCCGGCGCTCTAGGAGGAAAAGCTGGCGTGCTGACTCTGGCTGGCCCAACTCCTGCGGGGAAGCTCAAGGTTTCCGGCCCCTTCTTCCCCATCAGTAACGAAGGGCTGGCAGCTCCCCAGGAGGCACAGCCTCTGAAGCCCAGTCTGGCATCGGGAGCTGGCTTCTGTCCTGGTGGCCTGTTGGTGGGGAAGCGGCTTTTCCTCTTCAGAGTGGTGGGAATTCTGGGGCCTTGACCTGTGCCCCTTTCTCACGGGCTTGGAGCTCTGCAGGTGGCCATTCTAGTGCAAAGGATGGGCTGGGGCCCCTCTGGGCCCCCAGAGAGGGAAGCCTTGTAGGGAGCTCCTTCTGAGGGAGGGGTGAGGACCGGGTCCCCAAGAACCATGGAAAGAAGGACTCGCAGTCACCTCACTAAAGAATATTCATTTATTTATAATTATTGCTAAGTAAACTTCTCTTTTAAACAGGAACATAAAAACACAGTAGGGCTTTGCACAAGTGGAATTTCTAAACAGTTGGTTTGTATACATGTCAAAATAAGTTAGAATGGAATTTGTCCAGGAGTTTCCAAGTCACCGGAGAGGCTGCATGCCTCTTTTGAAAAGGTTGGGGTGGGGTGGGGGGTGGGGACCGAAGCCTGGCCAAGACCACCGCCCACCCAGCTGCGATTGTGAGTTGTGCTGCTTCCTTCTCTCAGCCTCGCCCAGGTCCAAGGCACAGGGCACGGGGGGCGTTCAAGTATCGAACCTCGCAGAGGGCTGGTGCTGATGGCGGGGCTGGGGGCAGAGAGGAGAGCCCCACCCTGGGGGCCAGACCTTCTCTCATGGGTTTCCAAGACCAAGGCCACTGCACTGGCAGGGCAGAGGAAGAAGAGGAGGTGCAGGGTTCTTTTTGGTACCAGGGGAGAAAGAAGTTGTGGGAAGAGGTAGTTTGCGGGGATGACGCTTCTGCTCAGCAGGAGAAAATGTCTTCTACAGTGACGGGGTCACTGCCACCTGAGGGTCATCATGGCGGGCACCTGGGAGGCTGGGGGGCCTCGGGGTCTGGAGAGCCACAGTCGGGGCGAGGCTCCCATGAGCCCCAGCCCTCTTATTTGCTGCTTAGCATGAACTCTAGCAGAGAAGGAAGGGGCACCTGGCTGCCTGACCCCGAGGCTACCTTGTCCTCCCCTCCGTCCTGATCTCAGCCACCCTGAGGCCTGGCTTGGACCTTCACTAAGGATACGGCCTTGGGGGCACCTCCCTCCCCAGCCGCTCCCCGCTTCCTGGTTTCTGGGCTGAAGCTGGTGGCTTCACCTCCTGTGCCTCTGGGAATGGCCTTGCCTGCTCCCCTCCACGGAGGCCGTAGGGGGCGAGTGGGTGGGCCTCTGGGTGCCCCAGCATTCCTGAATGTGCTCTTTCACCGCCCTGGGCCTGCAGTCTTCAGTTCCGGGGCAGGAGCTGGCGCGGGGACCGAGGAGATGAGAGCGGGCTGGCGAGGGAGCGAACCATGGGCTGAGCAGGGGCGGCAGCCCGGGCCGCTGCTCTGGTGGTGCAGAGCAAGTCACTAGCCGGAGGAGCTGGGAGAGGGTGGACGGCCTGCTGGGCTCTGCCTCCTCCTGCCTCTCGCCTTGGCCTCCGGAGGCTTCCTGCCAGCAGCTGAAGCCCCAGGGCCAGCCCGACAGTGCCCTCCGAGCCCGAGTCCCGCCAGGGCAGGCCACGTTGCTCTTGGTTGGGGAGGCACAAAGCACGCACAGCACACAAGAAAGCTTCCGCTGACAAAAAGAAAATGATCTCCATCAGAAAAGATAATAGGTGACACAGAGTTGGAAAGGAGAAAAATAAATTACCTTCAAAATACCCCCCTTTGCTCAAAAAACCTTTTTTTTCCCCCTCTATGGTCTTCATTTTCCTTTTTAAATATGTTGCTCTTCCTGGGACCCTGCTGACTCTTGGCTGTCCCCATCCTCAAAATGGATACTTATTAGACCTTAAATAAGAGGAAAACTCCAGGCCCCCACCCCTACATAGGCCCTCCTTGAGGACAGCCCCTCTTGGTTCCCAACGACCCCATCACCGGTCCCCTTGCTCAAGGGGCCTCCATCTGTCTTTGTTAGTGTGTGTCTGACGCAAGGCATGTCCTGGCTTTGTCGGGGGACCCTGGGGTGGTACCCCACTTCGAGACAGAACTGGATAACAGTTTGCTGAAATCCACTTTAGGGACGCCCACTTCCAAACAGGGCTGTAAGATGCGAGCCTTCTGGGGGTCGGCTGGAAAGGACGGTAGCTGGGGGTTGGGCCACACCCCGCTTTCCTAAGGCCAGGACCAGGCCGCATGCACGCCTGGCTGGAGGAGAGAGCGGGAGGCACCAGGAGGTAGAAGGCAGAGGGCCCTGCCTGGCTGTCCATGGACAGGGTGGGGGAATGGGCTCTGGGCCTGGGCTTTTTGCAGCCCAGGGGCCGGTGGGGGGTAAGGGTTGGGGGCAAGGCTGACCAGCAGAGGAGCTCAAACATCCCTAGAGGCAGGAGAGGGTCCAGAGGAGAAACAAGACATGGCTCAAGAGATCTCCCTCCAGTGACAGGAGCCCCGAGGAGCCATCAGGATGGTCCTGCCCACACGGGCCGCCCCAGCTCTGCTGGGCCTGGAGAGACTTGAGAACCTATGCCCTTGTGACCTGTCCCCAGACGGCCACCATCTGCATTTCTCCCACAGCAGCAGGCCAAGGAGACCCAGACTTGGGCCTCCTGTGTTACCCTTCCTTCCCTAGGATGCCTGGGGCCTGTGCCTGGTTCACAGCTGAGGCCAGTAGTACAGTCTCCATTTGGTCTACAAGTCCCTAGTGGTGCAAACGACTGAGTGGGAGGGAGGGCTCAGGACAGTGGGGCAGTAGCTTGTTTTTCAGCTGCAGGAGGTGCAGCCTGCAGCACATGGGTCTCCCCCCACGCCCCACGCCCTCCTTGCCCCGTCCTGGGTGGCCCGGCCTGTGCTATAGCACGTTGTAGTAGGCCATCTCTTTCATGGCCTGTTCGGTGAGGACGCTGGCCTCGGCGCTGCTGTCCACACCAGCGTAGGCGTAGGCGTTCTCCTCGAAGTCCTCGATCTCCTGCTGGCTGTCAAGCTCGGAGGGGTCGGTGCCTGTCAGCTCCATCATGGGGTCTGCAAGAGAGGGCACAGTTAGGCCTGGATGCTGCCTGTGGGAAGAGCCAGGCACTCCCACCCGGGAAGCAGAACTAAAGAAGTCATTGCCCGTCACTGCTTCCAAAAGACTCTCAGCTGCCTCCTCTGCCCTCCTGCTCTAGGAGGCCCCCAACTCCCGTGGCTTCTCAAACGTGTGCCGAGTGGGTACAGGCTTGGACTTGAACTCTTGGGGTCATGCCTCTCTTGCACCTCCTAAGTCACTAAGCCCTTATTTATTCTTTGCAACATTACTTATTAGTCCCCTTTGCCATATGAAAGCCTCCTGTACTATATCATGTCTGCAACACCACTCATTTGGCACCTACTGTATGCCAGGCACTTCACATATATCATCTCATGAATGCTCACAGCAACCTCGTTTAGATCAAAAGGAAGTTCAGAGAGGTTGGTCAACTTGCCAAAGGGCACGCAGCAAGTGCTGTTGTTTTGATCCACTGTGCAACTCTACCTCACTTGGCTGGAGGGAGCTGTTTCTCCTCTGACCTGGTGCCAGTTCCACCCAGTGGTATCCTCAGGCCTAGCTCTCCAAAGCCAAGCACTCAAGGTAGGTTAACAAAGATGATGAGATAAAAACTCTAAGAGGCCTCTTGTAATTTCATCAAATTGGAATCTTTTATAAAGCTCTTACTGTTGGAACAAAAGCCAGATAGAAAACTCCACAAAGGAGCTTGGGTGGGGCTGCCTTCCAATGAGTTATGGAGGGAGGGAGGCCCAGGGTGTGACCTGGGGACCTGGGAGTCTTGCTGGCAGGGACTGTGGCTGAGCCCCAGTGTGCATTCTGCCCCTGTCCATCTGGGATACGCGATGTGTTTGGGAAGAAATGGACCCCAGCCCAGGGGTAGCCCTGATGAGTCTAAGGCAGGGTTTTCCAACCTTGGCATTATTAGTATCTTGGGCCATAATTCTTTGTTGTGGGGGACTGTCCTGTGCATTGTAGGATGCTTCCCAGCATCCCTGGCCTCTATCAGGGAGATGCCAGTAGCATTGCCCCCGCTGTGACAACCAAATGTCTCTAGACATGGCCAAATGTCCCTGGGGGGCAAACTCACCCCCAGTTGAGAACCACTGGTTGAAGGGTAATCCCACTCATTGCCAATGAGTGACTCAGGATTAGGGATGGGACCCAATTCTGGCCAGTGAATCATGAGGAAAGGCCTGCTAGTGAGTTCTTAGAATGTTCTTATTAGTTTCACAGAGCAAAGGAGAGCAGGCTCTTACTCTTCCAATGGAGGTGAACAAGGAAGCATATCGCCCTAAAGGCCACTGGCAGCTATTTTGTGACCATGAGGAAAAGCACAGCTAATAATGTGGACAGAGAGAGGGAGCCTCACCCTGTCATTGTTGAGGGGCTGAATCAGCCAACTTTGAAGACAGCCTGGACTGCAAGTCATTTCTTAATTTATTTCCTTATTGTTTAAACCAGTCTGAATGGGGTGTCTCTTACTTGTGCCCATAGCATCTGACTTTATAAAATGAGGCCAGCTGTACCAAATCTCTTTTTTTTTTTTAATTTTATTTATTTTTATTTTGTGGCTGCACGCACCACACGGCTTGCGGGATCTTAGTTCCCGACCACGGATCAAACCCCGGCCCTGGGCAGTGAGAGCATGAGTCCTAACCACTTGACCTCCTGGGAGTTCCCTCAGCTGTACCAAATCTTATAGCCCCTAGGCACTTTCTTCCTCAAATCCTAGTGCCACACCTTCATACCATATAGTTGATTAAAAACAAGATAAATAAAGACCCTGGGAAAATTTCTACCTCTGGGTCTCTGTTATCCTCCCAACCTCCCTTTATTAACTCTATTTGGCCTGTCCAGTTGGCCCCAGGGAATACTCGGTACCATTTTTTATACAAAGACGTTGATCTACCTCCTGAATTACAGTCCTATCGTTTATTGGGTGGTTCCATCTAGACTGTAGGCTGCCTTCCTCCTGCACAAGTGTCAAGCCTGAGCTTCTCAGACCAAGGTTATACGTGAGTGGTGGGTGGACGTGGGCCCCAGCCATTCCCGTGCCAATCCCTGCTTTACTTTCTGTCATCTGGTACAATCAGGAACAAAGCAACCCTAGGCATCCCTGGTCACTGACCTCAGGTGGAAACAGCTTAGGCCTTAACCACCCCCTGGGAGCGACGTGTGCAGGGACAGCTACTTCCAAAAGGACCAGTCCTGCTCTGGTCCCTCCTGGTGGGTTAGCTACCTGGCATGTCCACTAGAGTACTGGCTCTCAAACTCTACTGTGCATAGAATGAACTAGGGTGCTTAAAAAAAAGTCCGGATCCTGGGCCACACGCCAGATCAGTTACATTCGAATCTCTGTGGTTGAGACTCAGGCATCAGCATTTTAAAATTTCTCAAAGTGATTCCAATGTGCAGCCAAGTTTGAGAACAGTTCTCTGGAGTCTAGGTCAGAGGTTCTCGAAGTGAGGTTCCTGACCAGCAGCTTCGGTTTGACCTGGGGAACTTGTTGGAAATGCAAATGATCCGACCCTACCCCAGACCTACAGAATCAGAAGCTCTGAAGGTGGGACCCAGCAATTTGTTTTAACAAGCCTGGAGTGATTCTCATGCTCCCTTGCTCAAGTTTGAAAAGCATCACTTTATTCAATGCTTCTCAAACTTTCCGGTGCAAACAAACCACCTGGGGATCTTTTGGAAATGCAGAGCCTGATTCAGCAAGTCTGGGGTGGGGTGGAGCCTGCAATTCTAGCAAGATCCCAGGTGATGCCAATACTGCTGGTCCTAGAACCACATTTTGGGTAAGAAGGGGCTACAGAGCGACTATATGCAGCCAACAGCGTTTCATCCTCACCCAGAATGGAAAACTGATGGCACCTGTTTCTGCCAGAACACTCCCAGCCATTCACTGCTCCAAAACTAAATCAGGGTTATTGCAGCATCCCTCAGAGATCCTACAGAGTAACCTCACATGGCACGTCGACTCACCCGGTGATTGTCGGGGCACATTCCCAGCTAATTTGTCTCAGAAGGAGCACCAGAAAGCAAATAGCTCCAGACTATACAAGGAACCTTCCTGAAGTGTGGCTGGCTTCTCCTTCCTGTAGGATCTCTAAAGTGCCTCCTCCCCATGAGAGGCCAGAGCGACTACAGTTCTTCCACTACTGGCCAGTGTTGAGGGGAGTGGCTATCACTAACATGTAGGGATGTTATAACCAACAGCCAATGAAACCTCCACCAACTGCAGAGGTAAGGACACTTCTCCTAAGTATGTGGGCTACATTCTTTTTGGCAGGCACTATGAAGAATGTGACTGATTGTATATCCCTTTTTGCCTTGGCAACTAGGAAGCTCAGGGCTCCCCTCTGCATGCCCATAGGATCTCCCATGGTGTACTTGGGGTTGTGACCTCACCTGGCTCTCCCTTATCTTTACAGTTGCCAATTTTCCTTTTGTTACTTTCTTTCCCATCCATTTAAAAAAAATGTCATCTCTCAGTAATGATCTTGCATGAGTTACCTAATTTCTCTGTCCTTCAGTGTCTGCGTCTGTAAAATGGCAATAATAACAGAGCCAACCTCACTGTGAGGGTTACGTGAGTTAATAAAGGCCTGGCACACAGCACTCAACAAATTGTTTTTATTATTGTTTATGTGAGCCCTCGTAAGTCCTCTTAAGCATACACAAATATCCCATCATTATCACCATGGTGGCCCTCCAGGGTGCTCCCTCTCCAGACCTGAGCCCACCCCAATGTCTCAGGCCTGGCCAGCCTCCCCACTCCCCTCACTGGACAGGAGGCTCCTGAGTGTGCCATGACAGTACTGCTCCTGCTCTGTCCACTGTTTGTGGCCCACCCACCTTGGCTGTCCAGGCCGATGTCCATGACGCCGTGCTTGACCTTCATGTGCCGGCTCAGGTTGCCCTTGAGGTTAAACTTGCTGGAGCAGTAGGGGCACTTGAAGGGCTTGCTGCCCGCGTGCAGGTGCATGTGGCCCAGCAGGTTGTACATGCGGTTGAAGGACTTCCCGCACACCTGGAACACACCCCACCCGGCCTCATCAGCCCGGGAACCCGCGCTCTCCGGACCCCCAGCCACTCCTACCTCCACGACTGGGCCGGAATCCCATCGGCTGTGGACAGCACTCGCTTCGTCCTTTCCTATGTGACCCCAGAGGCCGAGGACTGAGCCACTCCCTGCTGGTCACCGTTCCTGTGTGTCTGCCCCACGATCCCTGAGCTGAAGCTGTCAGAAACCCAGGGCTCGGATCTCCGGGTGCACTGAGTGTCGGGTCGGGGCTCTTTCCC